GGGGGGGCTCCAACGCGGGGGACTTTCAAGAAGAGACGGAGGTTCTCCTGCCTGAGCATTCAGGGGGTTGGGCTAGAAGACCTCCAAGGCCCCTTCCAAGTCGGATATTCGGTAACTTATACGTAACACTGACTTGGAACTGGGGATATTTAAGCTTTTGGCAAGCCGGGGTTCTCGTGTCCTATTAACTTAGTCAAGAAATAAGAAGACCTTACCCACCTCAAAAAATGAATGGATGATTATTTTTATTTCGGTCACTGGCCAGAATTTATCTCATAAAATAACGTAAAGATAAAGGAGAAGAAGGAAATTTCTCTTGCCTAACAGCCAAGGAGCATCAGGGTAGCCTGTCCTTCCAACATTTTAGGTTTCCAAGCTCTCTTTTTAGACACTAAAACACAGCATCCGATGCGTCAGCCAGAAGCCTGGATTTGCAGCTGGGCCGGCCGTTCACCTTCCCCCTGCAGGGCCTGGAGAGGCAGCAGGGACCACCCAACGAATGACCCTGCCAGCGGCCCGAGAGGGAGGGCCCTTACCTTAACCGGGTGGGGGCACCGCCTGCCCAAGGAGAAGCAGCTCCCCGGTATCGCTGTCGAGAAGCCTTCAGGGCTCGGAGGGCATCTTGAGCCACGCGATTAGCCTCGGCTTCCACCAGCACGTAATCGGGGCTAGACGCCTCCATGATGGCGTCGTGCTTCATGATGCTGTGTATTCCTGGGAAAGAAAGGGATTCACCTCAACCTCTCCCTCCCTTCCTCCTGAGGTCCTGCAGGCAAAACTCCGGCAACCGGCCGGGAAGCGCTGAGCCAGAGCGGATCTGCCTCAGCTGGCTGCCTCGCTTCCGTTCTGGAAGAGCCGGCCTTGCACGGGGCCTCCTGGAAATACAACTGCTCACTGTCCCAGGCAAAGAAATGTGGGGGATGCCTCTGCCTGTCCCAGCCAATATCTCCTCGGCTGGGGATTCTGGGAGTTGGAAGTCCAGACTTCTTCAGGGGCCACGGTTGAGAAACCCTGGTTACACAATGAACCCCGGTGACTGGGCGCATATCGGACTGATTCACCGTTACAGAGAGGGCATCCGTTTCCCCCGACGGGTGGGAGAGGTTTCAGCGTTGGCATTAATGGCCGGCTCATTCCAACAAATCCCACTGTCCGGGGCCAGGAGGCTCCTGGGGGAACTGGCAGAGGTGGTTCCACCGCTGCTGCTGCTGTCCGTAGTTGTGCCATTTTTTGGGGGGGGGAGGGGGGGAGAGACAGGGCCCTTTCCCCCTTCCAAGCGGGGAAGAGGCAGGAGCTGCTGGGGAAGGAGAGGAGCCGCCCGCCTGAAGCCCGTGCTGCAGAAGGCCCTCCGAAAGACTGAGGGCTTCTTCTGTGACGCAACCCCCCCAAGCCAGGCACGGATCGGGTGATGTCCAGTGGGCAGGCGATTGGATAGCCGGGATGGATAAAGTCTGCATAAAAGGCCCAGTTGCCCGAGGCGGGAAAAGCATTCCGATAAAAACTCTCTAAAAGAGCAGTTTACATGTGCGACATTAGCTCAATTTGGACTTCCTAAAGGATTTTATCAAAAGGAGACCAGATCTTGCACCTGGTCCCGAAATCTAAAGCAAAGGGGAAGGGTTTCATTTCTTTTCCCTCTTACTGACGATATACCTTAAACAAGGACGTCTACTTTCTCCCTTTGATTTTTAAAAATATTTTAGAACCCTCCCTCCTTGCTACTTGGACAGACTCCTGTCTGGAGGTTTCTCCCTTGTCACTGGAATATAAATTGGAATTGGGGGTGACTATCTCCTCGTGCAAGTTGGCCCTGAAGCAAGCGCCTCCTTCCCACCCAAAGAGAGCGGGGGAATGCGGGTGAGTTTTCTAAGGTGGCAAAACTCCAGGCCGGCATGGGAGGGTTTCCTTCAGCTCTGACTGGAGCGGTGACAGCAGCAGAGGAAACGATTCTGTAGGGAAAACCTCACAGGGTTGTTGTTGTTGGGGCGGGTGGGTGGGGGAATAGGAGGAAGGCAAAACATACTGAACAAACAGGCACGAAGGCAGCCGGACTAGAATAAGGTCCCTGCTCGGCCTGCATCTATCGGCAACCATTTTTATAGAAATTTAAATGGATCTGTCACATGGGGAAATATTTTTAAACAACAGGAAGAAAGTTACCTGATTTTTTGAAAAGCTTCTCCAAAACGTAATCGTCGCTCTTCGTGGGCTCTTGCGGCTCCTCCCGGTCTCCCTTCTGGTACTTTCTCTGCTTCACCAGGTGAGGAACTGCCACCCCCTCAAACCTGGCATCTCGGGAGCGCCTGGGCCTCTTCCCTCGGCCCTCGCCAGCCTCCGGGGCAGAAGCGGGCTCCCTGGGAGGAGTGAGCCGCCCACGTCCCCTGGCAGCCGGCCTCTCCGGGCTGATCCCGCCTGGGCCGGCTGGCATCGCCCGGCCTTCCCCCTCACCCGGCTGTGGCCAGGGCTCCCCAGCCGACCCGGAAGGCTCCTCCCCGGCCGCCCTCAGGAACTGACTCTGAGCGGGAACGGGGGGGCTTTGGGCAGCAGGGCCTTTGGGAAGGGGGCGAGGGGGTGGCTCTGCGCTTCCCTCGGCCGGCTCCCCTGCCGCAAGGGCCGCCTTTTCATCTTGTTTTGCTCCGAAGAAATCCGTCAGCTTCGCATGGCGCCTTTGGGAAGATTCAGCCATGTTGGCACTGCGACGCTTCAACGGCCGCTTTGGGGCTGGGACATCAGAACCGGTTCCTGAAACCCATCGTCCCACAAACCGTCACCGCCTTTCTGCACCCGCCCCTCTCCGCCCGTTGGACTCGCCGCCCCTCCCCTGGCGCACCTGCAAAGATGGCGCTGGTCTCGGTCCCCTGGGCTCCATCCGGAGTGCTGAGGGTGAAGAGCTCGTAGAGGTCGTTGGATTTGAAGAAGCGCCTCTGCTTTGGGTCCTTCAGGATTCGGTTGGTCAGGAACTGCTTGAATATTTGCCTGGGAAAATGACGCTTGGTGATGAGGAACGGCCCCTGGTTCCTGCTCTGTCTAATCTCTCTCTCTCTCTCACACACACACATGGACAGTTCCACTCCGCCTAAAGACCTCAAGGCTTAGAAAACGTTTAAGGAATCCGTGGAACAGAATACATAATTTCAGTCAAAGTGACCACCTGTTGCTGTGCTTAAATTCAGAGTTACCCTCCGTTTTCAATCACCGGTTTTCATCGACCGCAACGTAACTCAGAAAGGCGATGCGATGGCAACCAATGGGATCCGTTACCGAGCCCTCGATCCTCCCTGCCAAGGAAGGCAGAGGAGGCCCAAGGGAAGAAAAGCAGCCGGGTCCAGATCCCCAAAGCGACCCCCCCCGGCAGACGGGAGGCCGAGGAGGCCGCCAGCCACCTCCCGCTCACCTGTGGTAAATCTTTTCCTCAATGGTCCCTGCAGTGAGGAGCCGATACACAGTCACGTCTCTGGTCTGGCCGATCCTCCAGGCACGTTCCCGGGCCTAAAACACCAAGGCCGGCTTTGCTTTCCAGGCGGCCCAGGAGGACGAGGGGGGCAGCCGCTGGGGTTCAACGCTCTGGAGGCTCCTCCCCACTTCCTCTGGGTGGCCCTCCAGCCCTCGGAAAGCTTGCTCTCCGGCTAACCTCCCTCCAAAGCGCCACCTCTTTCCCAGGGCGCAGAGCAGGCGAAGGGCCGCTTTCCCCCTGGGAGTAAGACTGGGGGGGTGGCTCCCTGCAAGCCCCCTCCCCCGAGCCCGCTCCAGGGAAAGGGGGAGACCAGGCCCCCTCCAGGCAAGCAGCCCCCGGACTCAGTGGGACCCACCTGAGTGTCTGTGCTGGGGTTCCAGTCAGGGTCGTAGATGATCACCCGGTCTGCGCCTGTCAGGTTGATCCCAAGCCCACCAACTCGAGTAGTAAGGAGAAAGACAAATATGGAGACATCCTGTGGTGATTCGCAAGACAAAGCATCCTTAGGAGACGTTTTCAAAGATCCCCCTCCCCGCTGTCTTTCCAGGGATGGAGGGCCGGCCTTCCTTCCTTTCCTAAATTGGGAGACGGGGGCAACAACGCCGCCACCGGTCCCGGGCCCTGTCAATCCATTGCCCCCTGTTCCGGCCCTGTGAACCCCTTAGAGGGGCCTGTGAAGCGGCGTCCAAGTCCACGGGCTCTCGCTAGAGAGGATGACCCAGAGGAGGAAACCCAGAGCGTTCCCTGGAAGAGGGACCCGCGTTGGGGGCATTTGGAGTGAAAACGGAACCAGCAAATCTCCCAGCTCTGAGCATCCAGCTGGCTGGGCTCGCTTGTGGCTAACCCTGACCAAACCCCTGCGCCACGCCGGCTGAGGGCCGGGCCTCTCAGGCCTTGCCACCATGCGCCCCTCACCTCATTGAACCTCGCAATCAGAGGCTGCCTCGAGGCCACCGTGGTGGTGCCGTCCATTTTGAGGTAGGAGTAGCTTCTTTGCTTTAAAAACACTTCAAGGATGTGCAGCATCTGCAGCATTGACGGGGGGGGGGGGGGGGGAGAAACCCCACGGGGGCCTCGGATTACGACCTCTAGCAGCAGCCCAGAGGGCAGGAAGCGGGTCTGGCCTTCGTTTCCCAAAAGGCAGCCAAGGGTGAGCCCAGAAGCCCCAGGAAGCCAAGCCGCCTCTGGCATAGGAGGTGCCTCCTGGGGGCCACGCCCCACTCCCCCCAATGGCGAGGGGGGGCTTGTCTCAGAGGCTGACCTGCCTGGACTGGGTGAAGAGGAGCACCCGGTGGCCCTGCTTGTGCCAGATTTTCAGCAGGGACTCCACAACGATCAGTTTCCCAGAGCGCTTCCAGAATCCAAAGCGGTCTTCTTCTTGTAAGTCTCCCTCGGGGGTCCCCTTCAGAATCTTAGGGCCACCGGAGAAGATGTCTGGGTGGTTGCACAATTTTCTTAGGGCTATGAGCCCTGGGAAAATCTGCAGGGAAAACACAGGCGGACAAAGTCCTGTTCCAAAGCCGACTGACAGGTAATGATTCCCCAAACAAGTTCTCCTCAGAGCCCCAAGAGACAGGTGGGGGTTACCTGTGGGGTTCCACCTCAGTATCAGAACGTTGCCCACCGAAGGGAGGTCATACCTGGAGGGCAAAGTCAGCAGGGGGAGAATCCTGTCTCCTGTGCAGAGGCTCTCCGGAAGTTCCGGACACCTAAAAACTCAGACCCTGCCCCCGCCCCCACCCCCCGGGAGGTTGGGAAACGTGCCTGGATGGCGCCCCCTCAGAGCCAGTCGGCCTCTGGATTGACAGCCCCGCTCCTGCCTTGCTGGTTATCCGCCTTAACTTTCTCCTTCTCCCCTTCCAGATATTCACCGCCTCAGTTTGGAAGGAGACGGGCAGTGGGGCATCGCTGTCGTGTGACGGGCAGTGCCTCCCACGTGGCCGGGTTCCCCAGTTACACCTTCATATAGGTGTGGTTTCAAGCGGGGGAGGGGGGGGATTGGAGCCCTTTGATCCCTGATATCGGAGCTCAAGCGTCCCGAGGGAAAATGAGCGGCATTTTCACTCGGGAAGGAGGGACATCTCCTTCCTTCCTTCCTTCCTTCCTTCCTAGATTGAGAGGGACACTCCAGAGCCCTTCCAAGAGACGGAGGAGGACCAAGGCCACGTATCCACAAATCCCGCTGGAGGTTATCGGGGAGAGCAACCCATTCGTGCCCCAGAATGGACAGAAAGGTACAGTGAGGGGGGTTAGTCTAAATTGGTTCAATTTTCTCTTTCTTCAATCGCCTGCCTTCCATTTATTCTACTGCACATGGCAAAAATATTAGCCCTTTTCTTTGGGTAGCCTCTCCAATGCATTAATTTGCTGCATGTACCTGCATTTCTCTATTGAGAATCTGATAGACTTCTTTGGAATCAATAAACTTTTTGTAAAGTTGCAGCTGCTCAGCCGTCAAGCGACAAAACAAGACCTAAACAAGAGACATTGAAGAAATTACTATACTCGCCTCGTAGCGTAAGCCCACACTAGAAAGCAATGAAACCACCAATTCACGTCTTCTTCTCCCCAAGAGTTTACCACGCGTGGCTTTCGTGACTGGGACCGGCACCTCCGCGGTGCCAATCTCCAAACCCCTTGGCCTGCCGAGGAGAACTCGCGACGTGTGTGTCAGGCCCATCTCAGGCAGCAGGGAATCCCACTTGACCTGCCAGCCTGGCTTTTAATTAATTCCAGTTTGTGAGATGGGTCCTCCTGCCTGTGGATATCGGAGGGCTCTACCCCAAGCAATAGGGCAACCCCCGACCTGGAGGTGCCACTCGCCAATACCACCCCACACGCCTCAGCCTTCGGGGCACCGGGATTTCAATTTTAACTTACGTTTTTAAAGTTAACTACCGTAAGTTTAAGTATTCGCTGGAAGCAGGTTATAAAAGGAACAGATTTCTTCTCTCATAACGTAACCCTTGATAGGCATTCATTATGCACTCGAAATTTTCTCTGATATTTGGCAGCAGGTTGTAAATGAGTGAAAACAATATATCAGAAAATTGTTTTTTGTGTTTTATGAAGTAAGCTACCCAGAGGACCTGCTGAGGTGAACAATTATAGAAATCAAAGAAAGAAAGAAAGCCTCTATTTTCAGATTTCTTGGGAGGTGTTTGCAAAATAATTCATGTCATATAATCAACAAACGCTGCTGCAGGTTGTAATTCGGCGCCACCTGTGAGCACAGCTCAGGAGGCTTCTGAGGGGCCCCCGTGGCTAAATCGCTGGGATCTCCTCCGATTAAAGACTCACTGCCAGGATTTCTATCCACTTGAACAAGGGTCAACCTGCCTGCAAGAGACCTGACCTGACTTTATCCCCAACTTTAAGGGCTATTAATGTTTTATTCTGCTAGGCCAGAAGTGGATTCGAAGGTGACCCCGGACCCCACGGAAGGGAGAGGTGGTGTGTGTGTCCACAGGCACTTTTCTCCCTGGGAAGCTCAAAGCCTTGTTTCATGTTGACAAGTAAACAGGGAAATTGTACAAAATTAAAGGTACCTGCTCATTTTTATCCGGCAAGGAGAGGCTCATCTGAACATCTGCCTTCATTCTGCGCAGCAGGTAGGGGTTAATCGTATCCCGTAAAATGCAGGCACACTTATAGGCAGTTTTCACCTTTGAGGGGGGGAAAAATGCCAGTGACTTTACGAAGTGTTTTCCTTTTCGATTCCAGCATGGGGACGATGGGGGGATATATGGATAAAAGAAACAGGGAAGGATAACGCACACCCCCAAAAAAGCAAGGAAGGTCCCTAGGGGAGTGACTTCCCGGCTTCCAGGAACGCCATAACCGCCGCCTCCAACCCCTCCCTCCGCCCGGCCTCCTGGCAGAGTTCCCTTCTTCCCGAAAACAAGACACTTCCGCCAACACACCCCGAAATCAGCAGGGCCTTCTTGTGCCTCTTGCCAGCAAAAAGCCGAGGGAGGGGGGAGGGCGGTTGGAGGGCTTGGGGACCCTCCTGGTCGTTACCTGGACCGGAGAGGCGTTGGAATAGCCCCCCATGGTTATGGGGACGGAGAACTGCTCCAGGAAGACTGGGAGGGTCCCCAACTTCCCCGGGAACACAAAATCAAAGAGGGACCACAGCTCCTGGAGGTGGTTTTGCAGAGGGGACCCAGACAGGATGATCCGGTGGGGAGTGGAGAACTGCAAGGGGAAGAAGAGGAACGGTGAGGCCCCACGGGAACCAAAGACACAATTCTGCTGGGGTCATGCGACCCGGCCTCTTCACAAGGGCGGCCCGTGTGGGATTTAAAGGGACAAAAATCATCACAACAGCTTTGCAGAATTGCTCCACGGGATTATTCTTTCTGAGATTCTATTTTCCAAATACTCTCAATTCCACTGCCTCCTATGCAATTTCATACATGGCGAATAAGTTTCTCTTAATTTATAGCTGATTTTTAAAAAAATACTCTTTATGCATTAGTAGGGTTGAGATTTAGACCTTCCAAATTCAAAGCATTATTTTTTATGTTATTTAATGAAACCATTTCCTAAAATTCAAATATAATATGTGAAAAGATACAAAGTGAGTTTATCACTGAATTCTCTCTGAATAAAGCAAAATATTTCTTGGAAAAGCTGGGAAAGTCAGCCACTCTCTTTTCCTCCCTCAACCGTCCTCTTTTTAAACAGGAGAACAAATTTGTTCAATGCAAAGAAAGAGCGTCATAAAGGATTTTGTAGAAGTAGCGAAGAGATAAGGATGGAAATCCTGTTGTTGCTGGGTGCACTTTGCAAAAGTTGTAGAGATTATAGAACTCGTTCATTACACTCGTTAACCTCACTAGGGAAATGAACACACCCACTTCACGTAAAACTCCAAGGATATGGGCTACGTATAACCTACACTCTACATATTCTTTGGCTCCGAATTATGTACACAGACATCCAGGTATTATATCAGACCTGGCTTGGATAGTATTTAATGGAAGACGGCTGTCAGGTGGCAAATGACAATCCAAGGCTTTCCCCATCCTTTTTTTCTTTAAGGAATCCCACCTGTTTGCAAGCCAGGGTAACTGCAGCCTTGGGATTCCGAATTTTATGCCCCTCGTCCAGAATCACGTAATGCCAGTTGTACCGCTGAAGATTGTCTTGCAACAAGCGAATGTAAGAATAGGAGGTTATCAAGATTCCATTGCAGGCCACAATTTCACGAATCAGTTTTACCTGCAAAAAGATTATTTTAAGATTATTAAATGGCTCCATGATTTTCTTGCATAGCTAAACAAACTGAACAGCTGCCCTGTATTAAATTAGAAACAAAGTGAGATCTTAAAGAAGAATAAGGATGACAGTGCGGCGATGACACCGCGTGATTACGTGGACCGTAAACCGGCCGTGGACAGGGAATCGGCCGCACAAGGAATCAGGTCACACAAACCGACCTCTTAAATGAAAGGTAGAATGCAGGCCCGCCAGAGGGGATTCTTTAACAAGGTGGCCCTTTGCCAAAGGCTCAGGCTTCAGAGCGGGGGGCCCCTAGGACTCCCAGACCCCACTTCATGGTGGCTGCCGCTGAGCCCAGGGGCCACCGATGCTATCTCTGCACAGGTGGTTTTCCTGCCCAGGTAAAGGGCCTCGCTCGTCTCGCCGCTGGGCTACCACTGGCTGGGTGGGGCCCCCATGCTCCAGCCTTCAAGGCCCTTCTGAATCTGGGGCCTATCTTCCAAAGTGTTGGCAATCCCCCCCCCCTCCCCCCCGTGTCCTCTGCAAATCTGATGAGGAAATTTCCAGGGGAGATACTCCAGAGGGACACCCAGCACCGCCCCCCCCTCCCCCCGTGTTACATTCAACTCTGGCTGGGGGATGAATTACGCGCTGCTTCTCAAGCCCCCCCTGGAAGAAGCCGAAAGAAAAGCCGGCAAGGGCAGGACAGAGGACGCCACACAAGGTGAGGCCTGGGGCGTTTTGCAGCAGCTGCTTAGCTTGGTGCGCCTCCTCCCTCGAGTGGGGAGTGGGGGGCCGGCGGCCTTGCATGGCAGAGGCTGGCGAAGGAGCCCCGTGAGTGGCCAACCAAGGGAAGGCTTCTGGGAAAGCAGAAATCTCCACTTACAAGTCATCCCCAGGCACAGAAGAAAACCAGAGCCGTCAATGGAGCAGAAAATGATCCATTTGTGAGGCCCAATTTAAGACAGCCGTAAATGTGCACTCACTTATTTGCCCCTTAAAGACAAATCTCTGCCTCTGTGGACACACAAACGTACACCACGCACACACGGACAGTGCTTTCCACGAATGACTGCGGCCTTTGCCGCAGGTTGTAGGTCTGCTGCCCTTATGTGAACAGGGCCAGAAATGTTGGGAGAAGGGGATTAGCTTTGCCCAAGGGCTGCTTTGGTCAGAGGCTGGGGCGAGTTTTGTGTCCTCGCAGAGCTCTTCTCATTGCGCTTGCTCGCTGCACCCCACAGAGCTCAACGGGAGCTTCCACAGACAGCACCAAAAGCAAAACTAGAAATGGGTCCTCAGGCGGCGACCATTTGGATTCAGGGCTGCGGGGAAACCGCCGGGCCTCCAAACGTATCTACAACTCTGGAAACACCCAGGTTACAAGGAGGAGCCCATTTCAAGAAAAGAGCCCTTATTAGTGCAGCCGCCACGGCTTAAGCCTTCTGGATCCCTTGTAATCCTTCTGGCCGTGTGAACAGGGCGGTCCGAAGACAGCCAGCACCTCCGTAGATCAACCCAAGCTGCCTTGTTGCTCTGACAGGAAGGCCTCCTTCTGCGTCGCCAAATTCCTCCTTTCCCACCGCAAACAAAGCAGGTTGGTTTCTCTCTTAGCAGGTGAGGTTGCAGGAGACAAGACAAAACGGGACTTCAGGCACTAAACACGCCCCGCCCCGACAGGTAGTCCTCGACTTTTGGTTCCTTTCGTGACTGTTGGAGGTTGCCATGGCACCGACAAAAGGGACTGGTGGCTGTTTTCCCATTTCGCAGCCCCCACAGCCCCGCCGGGTCACAGGATCAAAATTCAGGCGCTTGGCAGTTCTGGTTCATAATTATGACGTGTGCTTTACTTAACAACTGTGGCAAGAACGGTCGTCCATTGGGACAAAACGCCCTTAGCAGCAGAAAGCTTGGGCTCAGTCTGTGAGTCAAGGACTATCTGGACTAAACATAAAGATGGCTGAAAACGTAGGTGCCACTACATGCAGGGGCTGGTCTGGAGACCATCTAGTCTGACCCTCTCAGAGACGGCACCCGCGACTCCGTCATCCTTAAGAAAAGGCCGTCCAGCCATTTAGATGCCCTGCCTGCACCTCCTGCTCGTATTACCCTTGAAGGCAGCCGGGCCGGGGGGGGGGATTTGCAGTGCGTGCCCTCCCAAGCAGGCCACTGGCGTGGGGAGCCTCTGGGGCCCTGGACTCCTCCAGCCAGGCTCCTCCGAGGCGGCCCCGGGCCCCTGGCCCAGGGCAGGGCTTCCTCCCTCCCCCTCCCGGCCTCTGGCAGGAGCTGCTGACGTCTCTGCTCAGACCCAAGAAGGAGAAACTGTCTGAGGCGCTTTCAAATTAAAAGCTTGTAGAGCGCGTAACCTCTCCTAGATTTTGCAATTAATAGGGTATGTCTGCAATTATCCTGACTCGAAGAAGCAGGCGGAGGAGGAGGAGGAGGAGGAGGAGGAGGAGGAGGAGGGCTGCCCCACTGTCATTAAAAGATGCTCTGCGGAAGGAAGGGAGGGAGGGAGGGAGGGAGGAAGGAGGGCTGCTGCTCTCGCAGAGGCTCAGGAGACCAAACCCTCCTAGAGGGCAATCAAAGCAGAGGTAGGAAACAGCATCCATAAATCACGCTGTCAGCGCAGGAGGGGGAGGGAGGGGGGGAGGGGGGGAGGGAGGAGCAGCCAGGATGGCCCAGTAAAGCCACTCACGGCAGGCAGGCAGGCAGGCGGGCAGGCGCAGCCCAGGCCCACTCTGGCTCCGGGGTTTACCCAAGCTGTAATTAATTAAAATTTCCTTCAAGCCAAAACTTTATTAAAGGAGGAGTTGTGCTGACAAGGAAGGAAGAGACGGGGAGGCCACTCATCACGGCCACTTCTCCCCCTCAGCTGAAGGGGATGTAAAGCCCACCACGCCTCCTCTCGGTCCTGGAGGGGAAGGGGGCTCTTGGGGCTCCCTGGAGGGGCTCCCCGAGGCGACCCCCGGCCTCTGCCTTCCCCTCTCCTGCTGGGCTCATGCCTCCCTTCCAGACTGCCCCACGACTGGTGCCGTAATAAGCCCCCCCCGCCCCCCGCCCAGCCCACCGGAGGGAAGGGGGGCAGGGCCGTCCCAGGGAAAACGGAAGGACTCTCAAACCTTCAACATCTGTCATAACTTCGAACAGCCACTAAGTGACCGGTTGTTAAGCGAGGACTACCATTAAAATTCTGGCTATTATTAATACATTGGATGTTCAGGGACCATTGTCAACACAGGTGCCTAAAGCTATAAAATGCGTAAGAAATGGAAGAATAACTTGGACCTCTGAACCTACACAAATCTAATTATTACAAGATAATCCCAATTAAAATACTCTGTCCAGCGGCTTGACAGTTGGGCCCTGTATTATTCTCTTGGCCCCATGATTTCGTTCTAACAGGGCCCTTGAGACGTTCTGCTGAATATCCTGTCCTTGCACTTTGGACACAGGTGCCTTTTCACACGGGACACCTGAAAGGCAGCTAAGGGGGACTTCGCCCCAAACACCTTGCAACCCGGGGACGGCGGGGGTGGGGGGTGGGGCCCCCACGGACCCTGAAAGAGGAATGGCCGGAGCAAAAGGGATTTCAAATTTCAAAATTCTGGGAAGGCGCTGCACAAGGACCCAAACTTCGTGTGGAGCTCCGAAGGCTGTGAAATCACTGCGTTTGGTTACTATGCACAAGCAGCGTGCAGTTCACAATATCTGAGATCACCAGGACTGCTCCCGTATGGGGATATTCCCTAAATGCAGGGAGAGCTTGGAAGGCCGACGTTAACAGAGTCATGAGAAAGAAAGAAGGACAAAGAGAGGAAAAGAGCAGGTACCTTTTTGTCGGCGTAGGAGCCCGTCTCGTGTAAAACGGCCACTCTAAACGGGGGCCACCAGGCGTGGAACTCCTTCACCCACTGGTGCATGACGGTGGTTGGACACACGATCACCGTGGGACCCAGCCCTCTGTGCCTGGGGCAGACAGGAGGAAGGGCTCAGTCACCACCTGCCTACAAGAAGGAAGCCATTCCCGCGCCAGACTTCCCAGAGGCCAGGAGCGCTCTCATCGCCCTTTTTGTCGGCTGAGCTCAGCAAAATGGCAGCTTGCTCTTGTCGTGCCCAGTTGGGTCTTGGGAGAGAGAAGGAAGCCCGGCAGGCTCCTCCCACGGGGCCTCCCCCAGACACACCCAACGATCGATCGCCTCAAAGGGGCTTTTCCTTCCCCCAGAGGCAGCTGGACCCTTTTTCCCCCACGAGGAGGAAGAGGCGAACCTTTGGCTTCCCACCCAAGAAGCTTCATCGGAGGAAAAACGCCACGTCTTGTTCTTCGTCCTCCAGGAACGGAACAGCCCAGCTGCCTTGGGGGGAATGAGAAGGCCCTGCGAGAGAACCGGCACCGGCACGGCCGAGGGCCTCCACAGGCACCCAGGGACCAAGCGGCTCACGCCCCAGAACCAACCCAGCTCCTGGATAGAGGGAGGGCAGGCCAGGGGTCCAGGGCACCCAGGGGGACCAAACCCCAGAGCCCCGCCTGCCTGCCCGCCCGGATCCCTCCTCCACCTGGGCCAAGGGAAAAGGCCTCAACCCTTGACGCTTCGTTCTGCTCCGCCATTGGCTGCAATGCTCTGGCCCAACATCCTCGTCACAAGGCCTGCCTGGGACGGGCAGCCAGGGGGGGGGGCTCGGGGGTCACGCCTCATGCGGAGGGCGGATCTCTCGGCTGCCAGGGATTCGGGATCCTTTTCATGAATGAAAGCTGAAGGACACCGAAGCCAAATTTCCCTTCTCAAAACTTGCTGCAGTTTTTTAAAACTCCACGCTAAGACAGGATGCTTGCAATTTGGCAAAGTACTAAATGCGTAATTAACACTATGACACAACAGTCACTATTTCTTCTCCTGAGTGGAAACAAGGCTTCTATTTATGCAAATTGTAATTATAATCTCTCTTTTTTTCCTTCTTATCCATGTCACATCAGATACTGTTTGTGGCCCACAACTGCAACTTGCTTATCAAGCCATTATCTATCCTCCCGCAAGACTTCCAAATTTCCAAATTTCTTTGCAGGACTTTTCTGCAGCAGCATCAATGCCGTGGAAGAGCCTCCCTGCAAAGGTTAAATTCAACGTCTCTTATTTTTTTACTTTTTATTGGAAACGGTGAAGACCAAAATGTTACAGCCAGCCTTCTCCGGATTGATCTTCAGGGTTTTTACCGTTTACTGTCAATGTCATCAATGAGGCACACAGACTTTGCTTTGGTGTTCTTGGGTTTTCTCGGTCGTCCACAACGTCTCACGTCCCCCGGCCTTTCCCAAAGGCAACTGGAACGCCTTGCACGGGGACGGGCAACTACGGCGTCTCTTATGACCCGTGGACTTCAACTCCCAGAATTCCTCAGCCACCAGTAGAGTACAGCTCTTGCCACAAGGCCAGAAACTGGACTAGTATACCACAGAAAACTTCCACGGGCTAACTATCTACGCTGCATTGGCCTCCAGTTGTGCCTGCCCTTCAAGGGGATGGAAATTGGGGGGGGGGGGGGACACGCACCAGCAGCAGGGGACTGATCAGCAGCGAATTGCTTTGGAGGGTATTTCATTACTACTCCGTTGATTTTGCGTTCACATCTCTGCCTCCAGGCCCAGTTACTGGAAAACCCAAATTGTTAAGCTGATAAAAAGTTAAAACCTCTCATCCAAGCTGAAAGGCTCTGGCTAAACGGGAGCACTTTTTTTCCTTCCCTGGAGGACGAAAGAGCCGGGCTAAGCCCAACCTGCCCAGGGATTTCACTCGGGCACCTCCACAGAGGGGGCCCTGTCAGTCCTTCAGGAATTTTCACAGTATACTTTACTGTGTGATCGTTCAAACTGGCCCTGATCAAATATGTCCTACCTTCTCACCCAGGGGACGCCTACCTACGTGCACCAGTATCACCAACACTGTAAACTAAAGGAGCCGGTAAACTATTAGTGCTGCAAGTAACCTCGTGGCGCTGCCCAGCCTGACAAACAGATCTGACCCACGGTATCTGGTGAGGCTCAGCTACAAAACGAAGCCCCGATGCCTGGAATTCATTAAGAGTGTGACATGTTTAATTTTTCCTGCCCTCCAGCTCCACTGTCTCATAAAAAAAATGCTTTGATGTTCCCCAGTAAGAATTAAAGAAATATTGTAATTGAAATGTCATTAATAATGAATGCGTTTCTTCTCTATGGCAATACATCCCATGAAATATTCATCGCGCTTCACAGACGGAGGGTCTGCGGAAGAGCACTTGCCTGTAATTTGTGCCGCGAGTCCTGATCTTGCTGTAACTCAGGCCTGCCAAGAAGACAATTATCTGGATGGTCTTGCCCAGGCCCATCTCGTCTCCCAGGATGCCTCCTACCTGCTGGCAGTGCAGCTCCCACAGCCACCTGACACCTGTCTGCTGGTACCTGCAAAGAGGGAAGCCGCCGGAGAGAGCGAAGGGAGCACGTGAGCCTCGCGCCCGGCCTCCTCCGCCCGCCCCGCCCGCGTGGGCTTTGCAGCAGGCCCCACAGCCAGAAGGGCTCGGAGTTCCACGAAGGGCCCCTCACGATGTGCAGCACGAGGGCTGCTCCGTTGACCGTCCCCGTCTTTCGTCGGGTGGGACCCCCAGGGACCGGGGCTCTTAGCAGCCTAGCAGGTTGCGGGGAGATGTTGAAACGCAACAGCGGCTTCCTCGTAACCAAGGGGCCTGTTCCCAGGGACCTTAAAGAGCCAAAGGCTCTCCTCAAATTAAGGTGATGTTTTATTAATTGCGCTTCCATGGCAGGATGATGGCCGGGTTCCAGACAGACAGCCGACTTCTGATGGATCGGAAGAAAGGGGATTACCAACAGGTGGCAGGGATGGCAAGGGGTTCCCTAGACCAGGCCGAGTACTTCTGTTTTTCCTCAGGTGGGGTTTTTTTTTTGGGGGGGGGCATTAATATTATCTTCTTATTTTAGGTGCAGTGATTTACTGTATATAAGAGCCCTTTTACCCAGTTCTTCCCTCAAAATGGCAGGGAACTGACAAACAGTTGAGTGTCCAACCATGTGCAATAACCTCATCAGATAACCATGGTTTATGAATAAAATTGAATCCACACATTTTGCGAAGGCATCCTGTGGTTTATTTGGCCTTAGCTAAGCTTCCATCCAGGCCCTGCAGCACAGAAACCATGGTTTAGGGAGTAACATGCTGTGTAATTCCAGACAAGGGTAGATTATTCAGCAATCATGGTTAGGAAATCAGGGTTTACCAAACTGTATGAAACCACAGAAACCTCTCCTTGGAGGGTCTCCTTGGGGGCGAGAAGAGCACCGAAATGAGTGTTGACACAAGTTCCGAGCCAACTAAGCTGAATTAAAATAGGCAGAAGCAGGAGGCCCCTACCTGGTAAATAAATTATAAGAGAAAATTCACCAACTAGAGGCACTTCTCCAGATTAAAGCAAATAAATAATTCCAAATCCATGACCGAAGCTATCAATTAATCAGCTGCAGCTTGAAAACGGAGCACTACTTTGCGTTTATCCAAGAGACGGTCTCCCCTTGTGGCTCTCCTGCCAGTCTCGGCCCTCGGGCTCTACACCGAGAGCACATGCCCCCCCCCCGGGGGGGGGGGGAGAAAGATGGGAGCCAAGCACAGTGTGTCAGGTAACGTTTCTCACAGTGACCACCTGGAAAGGGAGGCCGTCGCGGGGCCAGGGGAAGCAGCCGCCTCCAAGCGAGGACCGGGGACGGGGGGACGGGGCACGGGACCATACAGATCCTCAGCAGCTAGGAGGAAGAGGGAGACCTTCGAAAGCCCCATCTGACCACCCTAGAGGGCAACGGCTATGACTGCACCTCAGGGCTGACTGGGGCGGTCAAGAGAGTATCGGACGGACTCCGTCCTCGGGAGAGGCGGAGGGATTTGCAGCCGCTCCCTCCGGCCAGGGACTCCGAAATGTATGGCTAATGTGGTCTGCTTGTGATTTCCTGTAACTTTTTCTCACTCCCCAGTACACTTTTCAACATTTCCCCAAAACTATTCTTGCAGGAAGGGAGGGAAGGAGGGAGGGGTTTTTTAAATAAAACTTTTTAAGAAGGAGAACTAGTATATCTTTTCATATACCTACTTGTACAGTTTCCTGAAGAGGGAACCCGGAACTTTAAAACCCTCGAAAAATTCCGCATCGCTTTCGTCTGACTCTCCAGCCGTGCTCTGACAGCCGCTTTGGCCTGTTAGTTGCTGTCTGTGCCACCTCCTGAAATTAAGGTAAGAATCAGCACAACATCCCACCGAAGTTAGAAAACCTGGCACTTCAGGCAGCTCGCAGGGAAGAAAGAGTAAACGTGAAAAGCATATTTTACGCTGCCGCCGTCCCCATCGTCCTTCTCAGAGCACAGCCAGGTCACTCTGGAAATGGGACAAAAATTTAAGTCAAACAAATCAACGTTTACAATATCCAGGCCCACAATAAGCATCCTAGAGGTTAATCCCAAGGCCCAGGAAAGGGGAATCCATTCCCTCCCAGGACTGGCCTTCCTTGAAGGGAAGGGAATTGGAGCTAACTATTCTGCATCCCTCCACGTTCAGCCAGGCCAGGCGTAACGTGGTCAACACCAAGCCAAGCGAGGCGAAGGGCAGAGGGTTTTGTAACCACAGGTGCAGCCTGCCCCATCCTCATCCAGACCCCAAGATCGGGGCCACAACGCTTCCATCCCCCCCCCTCCCAATTCATCCCAACTCAATACCCGAGGCCTCCTGTGACTCCTTCGACCTGACCTCACAGGCTGGTCCTTCAAGGGAACCGTGCAGGGACCCTTGTGGAAACTCTGGCCAGAGCTCCTAGGCGGGGGAGCCAGAGAAGGGAGGCCTGGGGGGGTCCACGCCCTCTGTACGCCTGGACTCAGCCTTGCAGCTACGCGACCAATCCATGGAGTGGAATGGCGGCAGGCCATTGCCTTCTCGCTAGGGCCGAGGGAAGTGACTGGCCCCAGCTGGCTCCCGTGCCTAAAGCAGGACTGAAACTCCCACTCCTGGTCCAGCACCTTCCCTACTGCACCCCAAGCGAGCTGCCCGGGAGAAATGGAATTAACATGGCTTCCCAATACAAAAGTCCTCTGCGTAGGAGGGTTTTGAACTTATAGGAGGAACAAGAAATTGCTTCTCACAAAAGTTCAAATGATTTTGCTATGTGGAAACGAGATAGTTCGTGAAAGAGCAGGTTACTTTTCTAGCTTTATTCATCCTAATTAATAAAAAAAACCCCAAGTTTTACCCTCTCCAGAGGATGAGGAAAGAGGGGGCCCTCCGGTGCGTAAGAGACTCAGCCCCCACGGCTCGACCTCTAAACTGGCTCTGGAGCAGAAGGGAAGAGACGCCGTCCAGCAATTTCTCCCCAGACAGAAGCAGAAAAGTTAGAAGGAAGACAAAGAGCAACGGGGGGGCTGCCTTCTGCTTTGAAATCCTCAGTCGGTTTTTTAAATGACTGAAAATGTAACCTACGGGTTGTTGTTTTTTTTAATACAAGTCTGTCGCCTTTTAAAGACCATGATGGGAATCCCCACCCCTGCACGTGTCCCGAGCGCAGCTCTGTGCTTGCAGAGAAGGCGACCGTCTTTCAGAGGGACAAGGCCCAGAGAAGCCACCCAGGAACCGGTCTGGGCGCCCCTCCTGGAGGCTCCCGCCCAGGGAGGCCAAGGTCCGGAGGAAGGACATGGCAGGAAAGGAGGCCAATGCCCCCTCCCCCTCTCAAGACGGAGCCCCTCCCTCAAGCCCCGGGAGAAGGGGACCCTGGCGCGCAGGGAGTCCGCTTGCCACTGCGGCTGGGGCTTCAGGGGACACGGCTGGGATTTGCTTTGGGGATGTTTGGTTTCATCATGGTTTTGTGGGCCACCCAGAGTTGTAGTGCCTGAACGCATAAACAAAGTAATTCACGTTATGACATTGGGGTATTTTGCACCCCTGTGTCCCTTGAGCCCCCCTAACTCAGAAGAGCTGAACCCCTTCTTCATGAGCACAACACTAACCGGGGACGCAACTGCAGCCATCAGCCCCCACCCCCCACCCCCGGTGCCGTTCTGCTCTCTGCACACGTCTTTGTCCCCACCGCAGAGGCGGAAACCGGATCCTTTCGGCTCCCTGGCGGGGCTGGGGGCTTTCCAAGGGGTTTAAGAAGCAGCATCAGAACTTATTTCAGATCCTGGCATGTTCAGGATCTGGTCAAAACAAGAGCAAAAACAGAGGGGAGGGGCATTGGGGGGGGGGAGGACTCCCCTGAGCCACTGGCTTAAAAACTGTTTCTCTGTGTAAATAAATAAATAAAATGGTTAGGTCAGTTAGGTGGTAATTAATATATTCATTTATTTTTACTGTGGACTCCACACTTTGTAACATCTTAGAAGTTTGAAGCCCCAGGGCCATCCGGCTCCAGGGAGAGGAGGACCAGCTGACAGGGAGTGGGAGTTTGGCTCTGGTGGTCGTGGAGGAACCTGGGGAAGGGCAGAGGCCGGATGGGCAGTCAGAGGAAGACCCAGGCCCATCCCCTCTCCATCCTAGGGCACGCAGGGAGGAGCGGATAAGGCAGAGACGTGGGTGGCGTGGTCTACGGGGGAGGAAGGGGCCCTGATTCCCTTCATGGGCTGCAGCTGGGAGGACCGGTTAAAAGGACAAACTGTGCATGGCAAAGGTGCTGGAAGCAAAGCGTGCATTCTTGTGTCTGAGCTTATCTGGGGTTTGGCTTCCTCCCAACTGTGGTTGCTGCTGTTATTTGGCAGAAGTCTGCGATTGATCATCCTTGCCTGTCGTAGTAATTCCTTCAGTGTGGTGTGTTGGGTTTTTTATTTCGAATTAACTTTGCTTTGGGTGGGGACAGCATTTACTCCCTCCGTAAACTGTTTTTTCTTTAAGAGTTTGATATCCTGCCGAGGATAATTGGACATTGGGGCCAAGTTGGAGGCATTAGAGGGACTTTCTTCTATTTTTGTGTCTTGGTTATTTTTGTGTCGCGCCCCGGGTATCATACCAGGGTCTCAATTCTGGTTACTTTCTAAAGAAGCATCATTTTTGACTTCATGTTCTTGTTTATAGGATTTAACATTTCTATTATTATTTCTAATTTTTACCTTATAAAAACAGCGCTTTGTTCAATAATAATCAACCCTTTCTTACGGAAAATAACCTGACAATTGCTGCATTTAATTCAGGCAAAGTTGAATACTCTTCAATCAATAGGTTTTTTTAACTGTAAAATACTTCATAATTGTGTACAAAAGGTTTTAAACTCAAAATGTCATTTTAGTTTCAGTAATTCTCCCAAACCTAACCAGAAGTTGAAACAGCTCCACGTTTAAGCTTGGGACACTCCCAGACGGAACAGCACAATCAGTATAATGGACGGTTTCTTTGGACTCAAAATGGCTGTTTTAAACTTATTTATTGGCCTTATCGGCCATTGCAATCAACCGACTGAGCACTATACGATTGTGCAAGTCCACAATTTAAGTTAAAATACATTAAGTACCAAAACCATACACGATCAATCCATCGTGTATATGCCAGGAATTTAAAATTCCAAAACCACAATTAAAAGTGATTAATCATTACTGAAACTGATTCCTTCCTTCCTTTGTAATTCTTTCAGTAATCACCTCCAGTGTCTAACTTCCACAGCTGTCTGTTTTCATGGGATTAGACACCTTGTAACGAACAAGAAAAAGCATATTATTTAGTCCAATTGCTGTAAAAGGATAGCATTAAGCAAAATGATATTTTGATGTACTGTGAGGACAGGAGAAAGATGAACCAGCTGAGGTTTCAAAATATACCCAGGAATCAAGCTGGGGTTATATAGTTTATGTTTCTAGAAGACGACGCTTCTTTATTTCAAAAAGACAAGAATCCCTTAACGATCGTTATCATTTTGGAAACCGAGAGAACGATTTATTCTTCAGATCTGTTTACGACTTGTGCTAAGTCGGTCTAATTGCTGCTTCCTTGGCAGCTGGGATGATGCTATCAAAATTACACGCCTTAACAAATGAAGAAAAACTGACTGAAAATTAGGAATGAAAGCTGTACTTGGATTCCTACTCAGCGTATACGGTCCCGAGTTTTACGAAGTTGTTGGTATTTTGGATTACCCGGTCCTTAAAACGCAACATTTAAATGCCTCTTGAAACACTGAGTTTGTTTTAAAAGAGGTTCAAAAGAACTTTCCAAAGGAGATGCACTTAAAAAAGATGACAGCATTTTATGGGGAGAGGCTGGGAGACTGGGGTGCCCATTAAATATACAAATTTCCTACTCCTAAAAAAAGGTGCTTTACTTCCCACCAGGGCAGGCTTTGGGCATCATCTACCGTCTTCCAAAAATGGGAGGCTGCTTGGCCAAACGGCCAACTTATGTCCATCCAACCCCTCCGTGGCTCTCTTGACCAGGGCAACACGGCAAAGGGAGTTCCTTTGTCCAGGACGGAGTAAGGTCCCCTGCCTTGGGCAGGAGGTTGGGCTAGAGGACCTCCGAGGTCCCTTCCAGTCCTAGGGTTCTATACTCGATATTTTGCAAATCATAAAGCAGGCAGTGCCCACAACAGACCTACCGCCAACGCCAGAAACCGCCCTCACGCATAATAGGACCACAGAACCCCCTCTATCTCGTCCTCTCGCGTGCCCCCTCACCTCCTGGCCACCGCTGCAGACAAAGGGCCCCTGTGGGGAGTCCTCCTCCTCCTCCTCCTCCTCCTGGCTCGCCTCCTACCTGCCTCTCCCTGGAATCCCCCTTTTTAATTGGCCTGGCGCTTCAGATGTTCAGAGGAGACCCCCAGCTGGCTGTCAGGCTTCAACATCGTAATATTTTAATCATGATGAAGAACCGTCTCCCCAGTACAATCCTGAAGGCTTCTCTGTGGGAAGGAAAATTCATTTTCTTCCTTCCTCCCTTTCTTTTTTTGAAGGAAGCGGGATTTCCCCACACAGCCAAGCACTCAACCCAGCAGCCCAGGAGGAGCAGCCGTGAGTATCGGGCGAGGGAAGCAAGCCCACCCTGTTTCCCTCAACTATCAACCGCAAGACGTGAAATGCAAATGACGCCTCCTGGCTGGCAATTTCACTCCGTTTTTTATCTCCCAGGAGCGCTTCCCTTAGCGGGGCTCACCTGGGGAGGGAGCGGGGGCACGACGACGTCAGCGTGCACAGATGCCGCCTGACAGCCTCAGCAGCCGACGTGTCTGGGCAACCTCAGGTGGAATGTTTCCCCGGCAATCGGCGTTAGCCGTGTCTCTAAGTGTCATTTAGGCTTTTATGGTAACTTCAGCAACTGCAGGAAACGTAGAACTTTACCAAGGATGAATTGCCACAGTCTTAAGGTGATTTTTTTAAAAAAGTTGCTGGAATGGATTTAAAATGTGGATCACATTAAAACTTTCAATCAAAATAAATTACTCTTGATGAAAACACTGAATTAAAATGATTTAATATTGAGCTAGCTTAATGAAAAAAGCTAACTTTTAAGAAAATAACAAATATTTTACATTTAACATATGCATTAATTCTTTGCAATGCCTCTCAAAAAGACGTCTGTTTTCTTAAGCTGTTTTTTGGCCAGCAGACTGATGCAGGAGGCCACGGAGGGTGGAAAAAAGGAGACAGGGGAGGAGGGGCTGCCCGCGGACCGGGCAGAGGCACCAGAGGCACCGCGGGTCGGTCCCTCGATATTTCCAGGCCGGCCCCATGTGCTGGATCCGGCCTGAGGGCCTTGAGTTTGACACCCCTGTTCTAGGGCATAATTTCTCAATTATCTATCAAGCTGGACTTAAATTCCCCAATAACCTTCTAATAACTGGAATTACACAACTGGAATAATCCAAGTATTCAAAGAAATTTGGAGTTTCTGAGCAAGTAAAGGCAAGAAGGAAAAAGGCACATAAAAATGGCAGTCTTTGTCTACCCAAGACAAGCAGTTCTTTAATAACATCAAATTTGTATCCGCAAGGTAACAATTCTGCCTTTTCATTTACTAAAAATGTTGAACTAACGACACTTCTGAGACAGAAGCATCCACTAAAAATATTTGGTCTAATCTATTTCAGATCAGAGACTGGAGAGAAAAGGATTACAAGAGAGTAACGGGCACACAACCTCTTTAAGCCACCTTTCCTCTGCCTCACTAGTTTTTTCCCACTGTCCTCCCCTCCCCCTGCAGAGATTGGAGAGGAAAGGATTACAAGAGAGTAAGCAGGCATGGAGACTACGTATCGAAAGGGATGGGCCAGCCTCGGCTGTTCACCCAGCTGATTCAGCGCAGGGGGCCGCCAGGTCCTAGGGCATTCCTTCGACCCGTGTATTCCCCACCGTAGTTCCTTCCGTTCCAGGGAATGTAAATGCAAACATTAATTCCCTTATTATGCAAATGATCCCAGGGCTGGGAAGAGCATCGCGCAGGACAGGGGAATGGGGAAAAAGGAAAGCTGAACTAAAAATAAAAGCACAGTTGCATTCTCGTGATCTTCCACTTAGCCACTATATTGCCGGACCCAACTGTGGTTGCTGCTAAACAAGGGCTACCCGCAACTTCACCTGGTTTAATCCCATAATCTGGACCTTCCAATGTACAGGTATGTGCTTCACACTGACCTTAGCCGTTGCTTATAGTAATCTTCGTTGCCGTCATCCTTGTATCTCTTTATTCTCCGCTTCCTGATCATGTCCACTTCTTCTTCTTCTTCTTGGTCGTCGTCTTCTTCTTCTTCGGAAGGGCTTGGGAAGAAATCCTCATCCGAGTCCTCTTGATCTTCTGGCTTCAGTGGGGCTTCCCAGGACACCGGACGATTCCCCTCCTGGCCCTCTTGAAAAGACTCCCCGTCCTCCTCCTGAGACCCCCCGCATCCATGGGCCTCCCCGTCCTCCTGCTGCCCCCCCTTCTCTGACTCCCCATCCGGGGGGAGCTTGGCTTTGGCCTGCAGGCGGAGACCCTGCTGCTGCCGCTGCCGCCGCTGAGGGCCTCCAGCTTTCCGTGGGCCGTTGCCCCTCTTGCCCCCTTTGGGGAGGGAGGCCGGGGATTGGGCCCGGCTGCCCTGGGAGGGCGCTTTCTGCCGGCCTCCCCTACGAAACGGGGCTCTCTTCCTCTCGAACAGGAGCATCGCCTGATCCGCCAAAAGCTTTTCAAAACCCGACGTTTCGTTCAGCATGATCCGACGGGGCTTCCTCTCTTCTTTCAGAAGCATCTTCGTCCCAAAGGGAGTCATCTGGCCAGTTCGCACGAGTTTCTCCCATTCGGTCTCTTCCTGCACTGACATCAACATTCTTCCGAGGGATGAAGGACCGGGAGCTGAGAGAGAGAGAGAGAGAGAGAGAGAGAGAGAGAGAGAGAGAGAGAG